CTTCCCGGGCGGCAGCGCATCGCCCGGGTGCCGCCCCATCGCGCGCCCCCAGCCCGCCGGCCACGCCCACTCCCTCCCCTGCCCACCCCCCTGCCCCCACCCCCCCGCGGGTGTTTGCCGCAGTCAAGCGCATGAGCGAGAGGGAGCTGGCGCAGCTGGCGGGCCTGGCGCGCGACATTGCGCTGCACCCGTGCGACGCGCTGGTGCACGGCATGAGCACCCCCTCCCAGGCCGGCGCCTCTGCCCGCGACCTCATGCAGCCCGTCTTCTCGCTGGCGGCGGCAGAGGCGGCGTGGCGGTGCAACAACCCCGCCCGCTACGTCTCCCCCGAGACGCTCAGCGCGGTGGTGACGGCGGCGCCCGCCTGGAGCTGGCGCGTGGTGCGGCACCGGGACAGCCAGGCGCTGGCCGCGCTCAAGCTGGCCACCGCGGCGGCGCTGGAGGAGCTGGTGCCGCACTCGCCGCGCGACCTGGCACAGTCTGGCGCCTTTGGAAAGCTCAAGATGCCGACCAGCCCGGCCAGCCGCGGCAGCAGCAGCGTCGGCGCAGGCAGCGTGCGCGGCGGAGGCGGCGCGGCGCCTGCCGCGCTGGCGCTGTGAGCGGCGGCGGCGCAGGCATGGGCCCGACAGAGGAAGGGAGCAGCCGTAACCCCTCCCTCGCCCCCCGCACCGCGCTGCGCCGCTTGCCCGCCGTCAGCCGTGGTTGCATGTATCTGTGTCATCGTACCTTCCTCCTCAGCAGGCCCCACCGCCGCCCGCGGCGGCTCGATGCCCCCCCGCTCCGCCCTGCGCCCTTGTTTAGAATGTAAGTACCGTCCCCGTCTGTGCACACACCCGCCCCGCCGTCCCGTTTTCCTACGATTCGCTACTATACTGTACGATCTACGAACCCTGTTTCCTGCCCTGCTCCCTCTCTTCGGATTGCCCAGGGCACCCACCCACCTCGATTTTCTCCTGTGTAGCAACACCGCCCTTGCATCGTAAAAAAAATCAAACAAACCTTGCCATTTGCTCCCCTCCCCGCCTGCATTTGTCGTCCCTCGGACGCCGCCCAGTGAGAACTCTGCATGCTTGCTTACATCCAGCCTGGCCCGACCGGGGCCTCCCCAGCCTGAGCGTGTAAGCCGCACCACGCACGCACGGCGAATCGCAGGGCGGGGCAAAGACAGGCAACAACAGGTGGAGCGGCGCGTGCAAAATGGGCGGCAGCGGGGAGCGTGGCTCCAGCAGGAGGGGGGCAGCGAGAAGCAATATGTGGGGAAGGATAAAAAAGAGGGGGCAGGGGGTGGATTGAAAAAAGAAGAAGCAAAGCCGCAGCGGTCTTTGGGCCTGTCCGCAAGCAAGCAGGGATTCACGGCCGGCCCGCGCCCATGTCGCATGGGGCGCCGGCGCCAGAGCGCTCAGGCGGGCTCCTCGGCTCCTTCCAGCTGGCGCCACCTGGCACGCCCTCACACCCCGGCCCTCCCCGGGTCCGTCCCCGCATTCACCATGACCCGCAGGTTGCCGCCGCTGATCTCCCGCAGCAGCGCCGCCTTCTCGGCGCTGGTGGCGGCGGGCGCCTCGGGCGTCTGCGGCTTGAGCTGCTTGGCCTGCAGCCGCGCCTGCGCCGAGCTGGCCTTTCCGTACCTGCGGGGAGGCGGGGCGGGGCGAGCATGCAGCGCAGCGCGGCCAGCGGTCGGGGCAGGCCTGTGCGGTGCTGCCAGCCAAGCCGCGTCCACCGCTCGAGGCCGGGACGAGGGAGGGCTGGGCGCACCCTGAAACACCACCAGAGCGTGCCCGTGAGCCTGCCTGCCGCACCCACACCCGCGCCCACCACACCACTCCACTCCACACCCACCACCCCTCCACCAGGCACCCACCAGACCATGCCGGAGACGGCCAGCAGCATGCCGCCCAGCTTCTTCAGCGTGATGGTGTCCCCCAGGAAGGCCCACCCACCCAGCAGCACCAGCACCGTCTTGCTGTGGCCCAGCACCTGCAAGGGCAGGCATCAAGGCGCAGGCGCGGGCAAGGCAGAGGGCAGGCGGGCGTGAGGCGGGCGCAGAGGCAGACGCTGCTTGCGATCCCAGGAAACAAGAAAGCCAGGCACTGAGAAGAACAAACAAGCAAGTAAAGCCCATCCATGTGCCCTGCCCACGCCCACCCACCCACCCACAGAGAAGGCCCCGCAGAAGGTAGCACACAGTTGAGCCACCCGAGCCGGCAGGCCCTCTCACCACCACCACCTTCCACCCAGGCGCCCGCCCACCTGGAAGGACACCGCCGAGAAGCGGCCCAGGCACATGAACTGGCTGACGTTGACCAGCACCGCCAGCGTGCACGACACAGCCATGGTCACGGCGGCGGCTGCGGGCGGCGGGGGAGGGAGGAGGGAGGGGCAGGCAGAAGGAGGCCCCAGGCGGGGGGTGGTGAGCGGGGCAGGAAGCAGGCAGCCCAAAGGGGAGGGTGGTGAGCGGGTGGCGGCCGGGGTGGCCCCCAGCCGGGGCGCAGCGCGCTGTCACTCGCTGCACACGCCGCATTGCTGACTGCACATACCGCGCCGCCGCCCGCGGTCCCCCAGCCCGCCCGCCAGCCCACCTGTGGTCCACGCGTAGCTGAACACCCACTCCAGGCTGACCACCTTGTCGATGAAGGGGCCCACCAGCAGCAGCGTCCAGGCCTGGGCGGCGCACAGGGCGGGGGCGGCGGGCGAGGCAGGGAGGGGTGGGCGCGGGCCCCAATCTAGGCGGCTGCCGCCCAGCAGCATGCGGCCGGGGATCCGCGTGCCTGCCGCCCCGCCCTGCTCCCGCAATCCCCTCCCCGCCCCCGCCAGGCGCGCCGATGACACGCGTCCTGCTGTCCTGCTGGCCGCCGCCGCCTCAGCCAGCCACCAGCCGCGCCAGCAGCAGCACCACCACTAGCAGTTGCTGTTGTGTTCAGCCACCACCCCAGCCGCCACCTCAGCCCCCACCCCAGCCCCCACCCCACCTGCGCGGGCGCGGTGTTGGACAGCAGCTCGTGCGCGCTCAGCTTGTGCTTCTGCTGCATCGTGCGCACAAAGATCTGCTGCAGGCCCGACGACACGACCGACACGGCGGCGATGCACATGCCGCCCAGGGAGATGTCCAGCTGCAGGTCCTGCACAGTCACCTGCGGGGGCAGGAAAGGAGGTGAAGGCAGGCAGGACAGGAGGCGAGGGCGGCAGGAAAGGAGGTGAAGGAACCCCGCCGCGGGCCGAGGCGCGCCGCTGCCTCCCGCCGCGCCGCTGGTTGCGGTGCACAAACGGTACACAGATGGGCGCGCAAGGGCCACGCCGCGGGCAGCGGGGCCCCCGGCCTGCTCGGCAGTGCAACGCAGCGCTGGGATGTCGCTCCCCAGCCGCCGCTGCCGGCAGCAGCGCCGCTCACCACCGCCACGCCCACGATGACCAGCAGGATGCTGCCCACCACCTCCTGGGAGAAGGTGCGCCCCAGGAAGGAGGACTCAACGAAGCACACAAAGGGGATGATGAGCAGCTTGGCAATCTGCGGGGGTGGGGTGGGGTGGGGTGGGGTGGGGTGGCAGGGCTGGTGGCTGGCGGGTGGGCACGGGCGGCTGGGGAGGAGGAGGTGGGCGAGGGCAGGTGCAGCAGGGGTGCGCGGTGAGGGCTGTCGAGGTGGTGGTCGGGCGCAGCGGCGGCGGGGAACCGGCGCCAGAGCATTGCTGCACGCGTATCGCCCCCCTCCCCCGCCCTCCCCTTGCCAACTGCCACTGGGTACCAGACCAGGCCCCTGCGCGGCTGCAGCCAGGCCCCTGCAGCACCCACTTGGTAGAAGCTGACTGTGTTGAGCATCAACGACAGGTTGAGGGTCAGGATGGAGACGTCGGCGATGACGGTGAACAGCATGAGGTCTGCAGCAGGGCAGCACAGGCGCCGCTGACACACTCGGGTCCAATCAGGCGGCGGGTGGGCGCAACAGGCGGGCTGCCCGCAGCACCCAGCCGGCAGCTGGGGCTCGCACCGTTGAGGGGCATGGTCGTCTTTTTTATCATGCCCGCCCTCTGGGCGAACCAGATGCTGATGGAGCAGACCAAGAAGTGTAGCGCGGTCTGCGCACGGGGGCGGCGGCGGGCGGTTGCGGCCGTGGCAGGGGGGCAGAGGGTGTACTGCAGCCAAGCGCCTAGCGCCCGGCCCGTGCAAGCTGGCTGGGGCGGGCGGGAGGGCGGGTGGGAGCCCACAGGCGGCAGGCAGCGGCCCCCACCAGGGTTGTAGCGAAGTGGTACCCATAGTTCTTCATGAGCAGCTTGTTGATGAACACGATGAACACGCTGGTGCTGACATTGCCCGCCCAGGCCCCCAGGTCCGCCAGCAGCTTGCTGGCGGGGTCATGGGTTCCCACCGCGGCGGACATGCTGCCGCCTGGGCTGAGCCCGCTCCTGACTCGCCGCAGGGGGTTGAGCGGCACCACCGTAGGCAGCGCCAGCTTGAGGGCAGCCGCAGGGGGCGGCAACGACCTGGTGCAGCAACTACCTGGAGCTGGAGTTCAAACGGAACAGGCGGCGAGGAAAAAGCGGCGGGAGGAATCGAGGGGTGTGAATGCGATGGCCATCGCCGACTGCGGCCCAGGGCAGCATTGAAAACTCGGGCGACGGGCGCCCTTTCCTCCCCCCCCTGCCACCACCGCCACATGTTGCTCGCTTCCTGGGCTCCCACATTGGCGAGGCATCGCATCAGTAATCGCCTGGCTCGGATACTGATTACATGGACTGCACGGGGTACGCTTGGGATCAGTGCGAAGGAGCAGGGCTGTCAGCAGAAAGGGCAGTCAACAAGGGGTGTGTGTTTGAACAGCAGAGCGCGGGTGAAGGCGTCAGGTCGGGGCTGGATGGCCAGCCTGTCAGGTCAAACGGAACAGAACGAAATAAGTCGACAAAAGAAGCCAGCCTTGGCGCCGCTACAAGCTACACCATCACATTTGCGGAGCTGTGCACGGCGCGCGCCGCGGCGGCGGTGTTTGCCACAAACAGCAGCGACACGTCGCCGGCCTTGATGTGGCTGAGGCTGGGCAGCGCCGCGGTCTGGCCCCGCGCCAGCGGGCGGCCGTTCACCAGCATGGCGCGGCGCCCCGTGCAGCGCAGGCGGAAGCCGCCGTCGGGCTCGAGGAAGAGCTGGGCCTGGCGGCGCGACACACGCTGCGCGCACCCGCCCTCCCCGGCCTCCTCAGACAGGTCCACATCCACCTGCGGGGTGGAAAGAACGGGAAGGGTGGAAAGAACAGGGAGGGTGGAAAGAACAGGAGGTGAGCGGCAATGTGGCTGCGTGGCGGGTTTGTGGCGGCAGGGCAGGCAGGCAGGCAGGCAGGCAGGCAGGCAGGCAGGCGGCAGGCAGCCAGGGGAGCCGTTCTGCTGGCAGCCAGGCAGGCGGCGCGCGGCAGACGGCGGCGCCACCCTCTGCCCCTTGCAAGCCCCGTCTCCCAGCCTCGGCCCACCGCCCCACCTTGCCCTGTGACTCCGTGCAGCGCCCGATGGCCACCGCTGCTCGGCGCAGCACGTAGCGCCGCCGCCGCCCGCACAGCAGCGCCAGGCCGCCCAGGGCGTCCAGCTGGCGGCACGTCGCGCCCAGCGCGCTCTGCTCCAGCCGCCCCAGTAGCGACAGGCGCGATACAAAGTCGCGGCGGCGGGACACCAGCGCAGCCTCGTCCACGGGCGGCAAGCCGGCGGCGGCGCCAGACAGCAGCAGCGCCTCCATGTCCTCAAACCGCGGCGGCGGCGGCGGCGGCGCCTGCTGCTCCTCCCGCTGCTCCTGCTGCGTCGTCCCTGCAGCGGCTGCCGGCTCCTGCTGCTGCCCCCTGCTGGCCGCTTCCTGCTGGTGTGCCGCGACTCCAGGCTCGGCTGCCGCCGCAGGGCCCGCCTTCCCCTCTGCGCCACCGGCGGCCGCCGCAGCCGCCCGCCGTTCCGCCTGCTGCTGCTCCCACAGCGCTCGCAGGCCGCCGCCGGCCGCCACGCCCGCCGCTCCACCTGCCGCCGCCCCTTCCTCCTCCTCCCCCTCCTCCTTCTCTCCCTCGCTGCCGCCATCTGCTGCTGCTGCTCCCGCCGCCGCCGCCGCCGCCGCCGCCCGCGAGTCGTCGCCGTGCTGCACCTCAGGCTCCCGCTTCCACACGCTCAGCCCCGGCTGCTCCAGGAACTGTCGGTGTCGCAGGCGCAGCTCCTCCAGCAGCTGCCACAGCTCCCCCTCATAGGCCGCCGCCAGCAGGTCGGCGCGCGCCAGGCGCCGCTCCAGCAGCCCGCGCCGCGTCAGCGCCTCGCCGCCGGCCGGCGGCGTGTCGACTGCGGGGAGAGGGAGGGGGGCGAGGCGGGGTGGGGCGTGGCAGCAGGGGCAAGGCAGGGAGGGGTGGGGCGTGGCAGCAGGGGGGAGGCAGGGCTGGGGAGGCGCGGCCGCGAAAGGGCGCCACGGCGCCAGGCTGGCACCCAACTCTGCCCAGTAGTGAGAGCAGAGGAGCAGCCGCGCGGCGCCACGCGCTGCAGCAGCTAGCGGCGCAGTGCGGCGGCGTCTTCCACAAGCCCACAACTGAGGAGAGCCAGGTGGCAGCGCGGCGCAGCGGGCCCGCGGCGCCCGCGCCCACGCTCTGCCCCAGGGCCGCCTGGCTGGCAGCGCAGCCGGCCAGCCGGCGGTGGCACGCCCGCCGAGGCGGTTGGAGGCAGGGTGCAGCTGGGCTCCTGCCCCACCTCCCCATCACGCTACGCAACAAACCAGCGAGCAGCCACGGCAGGGCCGAGAGGGGGTGTCCGCCCCTGGAGCATGCCACGCAGCTGTGCTGCGCAGCAACCTTGCAGCGGGGAGCCCGCACCTAAAGTGTGTGATGGAGGTTGGGCAGCCGCCCGTGGGGCCACCCAGCCAGAACCCCCACAACCTGCCCGCAGCCCCTGGCCCGCAACCCCCACCCACCTTGGTCCTGCAGCAGGTCTTCGGTCAGGGCGTCAAACAGGCCGTCGCAGGGCAGCACCACCACCGCGGGCTGCGCCTCGCCGCTGCTCTGGGCGGCGTCCTCGGTCGCGGCGGCGGCGCCGCCGGCCGGCGACGCCAGCGGCAGCTCCAGCTCGGCGTCCGCCCAGGTCACCTTCTTGCGCTTCACCACTCGCCCCTCGGTCGCCAGGTCTGCACACCAGGCGTGCGGCAGGGGTTTAGGGAGCAGTGTGCGCCGTTCTGGAGGGTTTTGCGTCCTCCAGGGGCGCCTGCGCACCTGGATCCCGCTTCACACCCGCCTCTACGGGCGGAGAGTCCGCCATGACGGGGCAACGAGGGTGCAGGCGCCGCTCTGGCCTCGGCAAGACTCGTGATTCGCGGCCCCGTCCTCTTTCCTGCACTCTAAAGAGTGGTCGGGTGCAGGATACAGATGAGAAGGGGGCCCAGGGCCCCCCAATTCGTCGGCAATCGAAATCCCATGCAGCCTCCTTCCACCTGGGCTCCTCTCACTGGGCGCTCCTGCCCGCCCCGCCCTCTTTGCCACGCATCCCTCAGTGACAGGCTTTGCCAAGCAAGTGCTGACTCGGGGACAAGGTGGGAGGACGGCATGCAATGCAAGGGAGGCATTTGACTGGGCAGCTGGGGAGCGGATGGACGGTGGCTTCCACACCTGTAGCAGCATCGTGCAGCAGCTGGGGGACCCCTGCAAGCGCCGCCCATCATGCTGCCGGGCTGCTCACGGCCTCCAGGCCTCTCTCCCCGCGCACCAACACGCTGCTTTGGCCCGTGAAACCTGCCGCCGCAGATGGCCACCGCTATCAAGCCCACTCAGAAGCCCGGCGTGGAGGAGGCCGAGGCCGCCCCGATCCACCGCATCCGCATCACCCTCACCTCCAAGAACGTCAAGAACCTGGAGAAGGGTGGGTGCTGGGCTGCGTGGCGGTGGCTGGCGTGTTGTGGAAGGGCAGAGAGAGCAGGCTGGTGGGCAAGAGGACGGGAACGCAGAGGCAGAGGCAGCTTGGGCGGCGCAGGCAGCTTGGGCCACCTGCGGCACCGGCGAGCGGCGGCGGCGGCCGCCTGGCCGCTGCTGTCTGCGGCCGCATCGCGCTGGCTGGCGAGAGGCGCGCGCCCATGTTGTCTGCCCCGCCCGGCCGCCCTCCTGCTGCCCACGCAGTGTGTGCCGACCTGATCCGCGGCGCCAAGGAGAAGCAGCTCAAGGTGAAGGGCCCGGTGCGCATGCCCACTCGCGTGCTGAAGATCACCACCCGCAAGTCGCCCTGCGGCAACGGTACCAACACCTTCGGTGCGACCGCCTGGGCCCGGCGCAGCCCCGTCGCACGCGCCAGCAGCACGGCGCAGCTTCCGGGCCTGCTTGGGGCTGTGCTTGGGGGTGGTTCCGTGTTTGTGCTCGACGTCGTGGGCCGCTGCGTGGGCGTATGGCGCCCCTACTCTGCCCCGACGCCCGGCCCCGCTGCCGGCTGGGGGTCTCACCGCGTCGGTGCTGCCCTCCCGCCTTATCCTCTCCTGCTGCAGATCGGTTTGAGATGCGCCTGCACAAGCGCCTCATCGACCTGCACTCCCCCGCCGAGGTGGTCAAGCAGGTGGGCTGAGCTGCTGCCGCAGGGCTGCAGCGTGTGCCGCCGTGCTGGAGCGGCTGCCGTGCTGCAGCGCGTGCGGCGGTGCCGTGTTGGCGGCAGCGCGACGGTGCAGGGTGGCGCCGGCCCCTCGCCCCACGCGGCGCCGTGCGTTTCTTACTTCGCTCTGCACTGCCAGCCCGCCTGCGCTGTGTGCCAGTGTGTGCCAGTGCGGGGCACGCCCAGGTCTGGCCGCCAGGCCAGAAAAGGAATCTATCCGTGCGCAGGGATTCACGGCACCCCCTGCCTGCCCTTTGCTGCAGATCACCAGCATCTCGATTGAGGTTGGCGTGGAGGTCGAGGTGGGTCGCAATCAGCGGCCGGTGCAATGCGGAGCGCTGCCAATGTCACGATGATGAGATTGCCAGCCCTGGCGTGTTCTGACACCTCCCTGGCTTGTTTACACCTTCCCTGCTGCAGGTCACCATCGCTGATGTGTGATGCAGGCTGTGGTGGGGCGCGGCCTGGCGATGCGGCAGCGGCGGCGCTGAGCAGCCCCTTGCCTCCATTCCGCCCTGCTCTGAATGCACGCTTCATTACACCTCGGTGCTGTAAGGAAGGAACACGGCAGAATTATTCAACACAGAGACAAACGCCGGCAGGCTGCGGCAGCGGAGGGAGCAAGTTGCCTGGGCGGCCGAAATGAATGGGTCAGCGAGTGCCCGCCACGTCATGCCGCTCCGCCTGCTGCAGCTATTGCGCAGGCCACAGCACCTGCATGGTTCAAAACAGCTACTACCCTGACAAGGATTGAGCTTACAAACAGACCAGCGGTCTTCGTCTGCCTGGCAATCTTCGTCTCCAGTCCCTGGAGGACGGGCAGCCTGTTTCATCATGCGGCATGATGCGCCTGCGTGCTGGGCTCGACAGCGTCAGACAAACTCAATGAAAAGATCCCACTCTGAGCCCCAAACCTCAGAGTCAACCAGCGCCCATGCTTTCCATTCCCCCCTTTCCTCCTGCGCCGCCGCCAACCTCACCTGGGCAGCCTGAGCCTCCCCTGCCCTCTCCCCTCGCTCCCTGCCCTGCCCTGGCCTCACCATGGCAGGCACCTACGTCAAGCCCACAGACAGGAAGCTCGGGGAGGACGGCGGCGGCGAGGCGGCTCCCATCCACCGCATACGCATCACCCTGACCTCCACCAAGGTTCCCAGCGCTAGGGGAGGGCAGCCCAGCCCTGCATGCATGCACCAGCGGATGCTCTCGGCCTTCTCCCTCTCGACTTCAGCCTGACGCACGCCTCCTTGGCTACCATCGCAGGTGAAGTCTCTGGAGAGCGGTGAGTGGGTGCTGAGGAGGAGCCCGCCGACGCGGCGTGTGGCAGCCGGGGGGCGGCGGCCGCTGTGCATCATGTGCCAAGGTTGCCGAGCGCTGGGGCTGCTCAGTCCAAGACTGGCCTGCTGGCACCAGCTGCTGCTGCTGCCAGCCCGGAGTCCCCCCGCGGAGCCCTTTGCTGCATCACCTGCTGTCATCCTGCCTGCCGCTGGCAGCGCTCTCTGACACGAAGCCCACACAACCGCCGCCGCCGCGGCGGCCAGTGCCACCCTGTGCCGTCGCCGCCTCTGGCCCCTCCCTCCCTCCCTCTGCTGCAGTGTGCTCCACGCTGGTGCAGGGCGCCAAGGAGAAGGGGCTCAAGGTGAAGGGCCCCGTGCGCATGCCCACCCGACACCTGGTGCACACCACGCGGCGCGCGCCCAGCGGTGAGCGGATGTGCCGGAGGCGGCGCCTGGCAGGGCGGGGCTGCTGCTGGGGAGGCGCACGTGCTGGCAGTGCTGGCAGCAGGGAGCGGTACTGACCCGCTGTGCAGTACCTGTTGCTCTCCTGGGCCTGCATGTGGCGCTGCGGGGGCTGGAATCTGGGGCGTCTGCGGCGCAACGCGGGGGCTGGTGCCGGCGCTGGCACCGGGGCACGCCCTTGCCCTTGCCGGCCGCCGAACCTGTGCCTGTTCACCCCCCTGTAATGCCCCCTGATCACCCCAACTCCTTGCAGGCAACGGGACCAACACGTTTGATCGTTTCGAGATGCGCGTGCACAAGCGCCTCATCGACCTGCACTCCCCTGCCGGTGAGCTGCCGGCGCTGCCTGCCGCCTGCATTGCATCGCAGCCCTGCTTGGAGGTATCCCGGGGGCTTGTTTAAAGCCTGGCACATCTGAGCTTCCCCTTTCATTTGCCGCGCAGACGTTGTTCGCTCCATCACGGCAATCGCTGTCGACCCGGGGGTTGAAATCGAGGTCTGGTTGGTTCAATGGCGCGAGCAGGAGTGATTCCGGCAGTTCAGATACCTCAAAACATGCCTTCCGTGCGCCTGCACCTGCTGCAGGTCACCATCGCCGATTTGTGAGGTGCGGGGTGGCAGGAGTGGCGGCAGCTATAGGCGCCAACGGTGACCGATGCGTGGGAGCAGCTGGAGGCAAAGGATGGTACAGGCAGCCCCTGCAGCTGGAGTGAAGGCTTTGCCACACTTGGCGTCTGCATGACTGCAACCAGTGCCGCAGCTCAGGTGACAGCCTGTGGGAATGCCAGGAGTTGTGGCTGTGCAAGCAGCATACAGTGTTGCCACCATGTCTTCTGTTTGAACCAGACATCAGCTTCCGTGGCAGCTTCCGCTACTGGCAGAGGACAAGTCCCCGCTGCCGCCCTGCAGGCAGCCCTTGCACGACACAGGGCTGCCTGTGCGCACTCTGCCGCTCCACTATCTGAGCTGGAGGACCCACCTGGCTTCCCCAAATCGATCTTCAATCACCCTGTGGCTCTGCGCACACCATGGCGCAGTCGTGTGGCCGCCATGCTGCCGTCCCGCTCGCCGCTGAGTTGGCTCGGCCTCCCCTTTCCTCCAGCGGCCGGCGTACCTGCAGCGGCGTCCTCCCCTCCTGATGCGCCAGGCCTCCTCAGCTCAGATTCCAACTGGTGCCTGTTGGTTTCAGCCGTGGTGACCGGTCGGAGAATGGCCAGCGCAGGACTGGCCTGTTCCTACTAGCCTGGACCTCCGGCAGCATGCCCGGCGCTCTACAACGCCTGCTGCTCCTGGCCTGCTCGCTGGCCTGGGCAGCGGGCGACGAACTGCTCGTGGGCCCAGAGGCGCAGCCCGAACCACAGCCGGTAGAACCCGCCTATTGGGGCGACCGCATCATCAACGTGTGCACCGCGGAGACCGTGCCAGGCGAGTGGGCCGCGTGCCGCCGCCGGCCACCTACCGCCGCCAGCAACCACTGGTGGCTCGCCCCGCGGCTGGTAGCGTCGGTTTGGCACAGGCACCATCAGGCTGACTGGCAAGCGCTCACAGCAGGGTTCCAGCAGCACAGGACCTGCGCCTCATGACCTGCAGCTGCCCCAGCCTGCCAGCGCGCCAGCCTGCCCGCTTGACGCTGCCGCCACTCCTGCGCACCGCCCGCCTGTCCCGCAGTCGTCTACTGCTCTGGGCGGGACCCTTCCGACTTTGATGGGGTGAGTGGCGTGGCCGCCTGGTGGCAGGCCAGCCGACGGCTGGTAGGGTGATCTGGAGAGAAGTCGGGTGCAGCGCAGGTTCCGGCTCAGGCACCTTAGATTGAGTGGGCACCCTGCTGGCCTGCAGTATGAGGTGGTGCTCTTCCGGCGCGTGGCGGCGCAGCTGGGGTGGGCAGAGAACAGGCTCAACTGGACCTGCTGGGAGGATTACGATGCCATGCTCGGCCACCTGGCTGCCGGGGATGGTGAGGCGCTGCAGCAGCCGGCGACATGCAGCATGCGCGGCCGATTTGTGTGGCACGCGCCAGAGGATGCCTGCGGCAGCGGGCTGTCACAGGAGGAGGCGCGCAGGCGGATGGGGAGATGGCAGGCGCTCGCATGCAGGCCATCCCTGCTCTGCGCGCCCTCCCTGACGCCTGTGCACTGTGCGCGCCACCCCGCAGGCGTGTGCGACGTCAGCCCGGCCGCCATCGGCGTCACCCCGCTCACCCTGCAGGCCGGCTACGTCTTCACCTACCCCACTCTCAGGTGGGGGGCGGGCGTGTTGCGGGGAGCGCTGTAGAGGGGGCAGGGGGGGCGTGGCAGCCCAGCTTGGGCGTCTTGCTCGCCCGCAGGGCCATGGCTTGTGTTGCTTCCCACCGCGAGCGTGCCGCGGGTCCATCCGTCCCTGCCTGCCCTGCCTGCCGCCGCACCTGCTCCTTGCAGCGCGGGCTACAGCGTCATGGTTTCCACCACGCAGGCGGGGGTGGACTACTGGGTGAGAGGCGGGGAGCGGGATGGGCGCCCGCCCCTGGGCCGTGCCGCTGGGGCTTGGCTGCCTCGCTGTGCCTCTGCCCGTCCTGGCTGTGGCTGCCTCCCCGGCTGCGGGCTTGCCCTGCTTCCTCACCGCCACCGCAACCCCTCACCGCCCACCCACCGGTGTGCTGGAAGGGTGGTACCACCCTTCAAACATGCAAACGCACAAGCACGTGTGCACCGCTCCGCCGCCCTGCAGGTGTTCATGGAGTCGTTTGAGTGGAGCCTGTGGGTGGCGCTGGTGCTGACCTGCGTGGGGGTGGGCGTCGTGCTGTGGCTGCTGGAGCCGTGGGCCAAGCCGCAGCGCCGCCCCACGCGGGCCGACTTTAAAGCAGAGGACCTGCAGGAGCACGTGTGGACGGCGCTGGGGCGGCCCATGCAGGCGCGCCGGCGCGCTGCCTGCCCGGTTGGCTGGAAGCGGCCGCGGCTGCTTGCTGGCTCCTTCGGGGGGCAGCGTGGGTGGGGGCACTGGGAGGAGGCCCCACCCATGCGGCATGTGCTGGCGCCACTTCGCCTGCCCGAGTGCGTGCCTCCCCGCCTCCCGCGCTGCTGCAGGCCCGCGACATGAGCGGCCGCTCGCTGGCAACCAACCTGGTCATCATGATCTTTGCCTTCATGATGGTGAGCTGGCAGGCAGGCAGCTGCCAGTGGCAGGCAGGCAGCAGGCAGCGCTGGGGGCCAGCGTGAGTGCCGCAATTACGAGGCGGGGTTGCCTCTTTGTGGTGTGCGTGTCTTCAGATTGCCGTCTCCCCGCCCGGCCTGTCCAACCCTCCCCTGCTCTGCGCCTCCCTGCTCCCCTCTCCTGCCTGCCTGACCGCCTGCAGCTTATCATGGTTGCCATCTACACCGCCAACACCTCCGCCAACCTCACCGCCAGCCTCATGCAGACCCGCATCACAGGGTATCAGGACCTGCCCGGCAAGCGGGTGGTCACCTGGGATGTGAGTGTCGACCAGCGCAGGCCTGCCCTGCGCCAGACGGCCACCTGCCCTGTGCAACCGTCACCACCGCACCCACACCCACAGACAACACATAGATTGCTAGTCCTCATGCACCTCCCCGTGCCTGCCGCCTAGCAGGATTCCGAGTATCTCGGGGATCTGGCGCGGCGGGGGGTCATAGCCACGGGGCTGCCCTGGGATACCGAGGAAGACCAGCTGGCCATGTTTGAGGCGGTCAAGGTGGGGCCATGCTCGCCGCCTGCACGGCGCCGGGGCCGACCGTGCCGTGCCGTGCCTTGCACGCTGCGCTGCGCCGGCACCAGTCAGCCCGCCTCGGCCCGCCTCCCTCAAGCTGCTTCCGGACGCCGGCCCTCCGCCCTTGCACCGCTCTCGCTGCCCTGCTCTGCTGTTTGTTCTCACCCGCCAAGCCAACGCTGCCTTGCTGCAGAACGGCACCTACGATCCCCTGGTACTGGACAGCTACGTGCTTGACTACGGGGCAGCTGCCACCTGCGACCTCATGACTGTGGGCGGCATTTTCCAGGAGGTGCGCCCGGGCTGGGCTGCATGCTGGTTGGTGGAGGGGCTGGGCTGGGCTGGGTGTGCGTGCTGCTTGCCGGCGTCCTGTCGGGAAGTCGCAGGCCGGGCTGGCAGATGCACAGGCGGGCAGCCGGGGATGGGCCGCAGGGGAGCGGCAGGGTGGGCTGCGCAGCCGACAGCAGCGCAGCGGCCTCTGCAGTGCCCTGGCGGTTCCACCGGCGCGGCCGTGCCCAGTGCGTCTCCCTGCCTGCCCGACCCGCCCCATCGTCCTGCTGGCAGTACTATGGCGCCGTGGCCTTCCCTTCCAACTTTGACGAGCCGGGGCTGCTCAAAGCATACAACGACATCCTCATAAGCATCCAGAAGTCGGGTGGGCGCCCGCGGGGAGCGGGCGGATGCGCCGCATGCATGCGGTTGCAGCTGGGCCGGATGAGCGAGCATGAGGCGGAGCATGCCCACCCCCTCCATGCCCTGCCCAGCTCGAGCATGCCAACGAGCGCAGCTATTGCCGTTGCCGCTGCCTGCCTCTCTGCCCACCCATCCTCGCCCACTGCCTTTCTCGCCCCGCCCGCTGGTGTCGCAGGTGACATGGAGTCGATGTTCAAGCAGTACATCCAGCCCCCGCAGCCCGCGTGCAAGACGACGGGGGTGCAGCAGGAGACGCAACGGGTGTCGTTTGCGCAGGCGAGGCTGCGGCGAGGCTGCCTTGGTTGTGGGGCTGTTTGGTGTGCAGCCATGCATCCGCGTGCCCGCCTCCCACCCCCCACACTCGCACGCGCATCTCCCCGCCGCCTGCCTGCGCCCTTGCGACGCAGGTGTCTGGGCTGTGGATGCTGCTGGGCGCCAGCATCGGCATCGCGCTGTGCATTGTGGCGGCCAGCCACGTGATGGTCAAGGGCGCCAAGAAGGTGGCCGACACAGAGACCTTCCGCTCCTTGCGGGCCACCAGCGTGGCACACCTGCAGCGCATCTCCACCCGCAGGAGCGCAGCAAGCGGCAGTGGCACCAGCGGCGGAGGCGCGGGCAGCTGGCGCCGGCGGCCGGTCAACAGCTCGGCGTCGACGCTGCCGGGCGCGGGCGGCAGCGGCGCGACCACGACAACCACGGAGCAGCTTGAGGCTGCGTGGTCTGGCGGGGCGCAGCAGCAGCCGCAGCAGCAGCAGCCGCAGACACCGCAGGCACAGGCGGCCATGGGCCCTGCTCCTAGGCTCATCAGCTGCACGATAGAGCTCCCCAGCCTGGCATCTCGCGGCAGTAGCGGCAGCGGCGATGGCGGCGGCGGCGGTGATCAGCCGCAGCAGCGACGGCCGCCGGACGCCGGGCCCACGCCTGCACCGCCTGGCCCCGCTCCCAGCCCATGCCTGACGGAGGCACAGCTGGCGGCCCCAGCGGCGGTGAGGGACGTGGTGTTTGCGGTGCAGCACCTGGAGCGCCTGCTGCTGCTGCGGAGCCCGGGGCCAGCCACGCCGCCGTGCTGAGGTGCTGAGGCGGGCGGCCCAGCGGTGGCGGGCAATGCTCCGTTGCTCTGGCCGGCGGCGCCTCCCATCTGGCTTGCTTCCTTTCGTGGCATTTTTTCGAATATTTGATCAGCCTCCTCCAGACTAATAATCAGAGAGCAAAGCTGTGTTTGCGGCGTTTTCATCGGCGCCGACGTCGTGGGCATCCCCTCTCGCCGTGCCTCCTTGTTGCAACAACCCTCCTGTGCTCATGCCATGGGCTTCCAATCCGCTTCCTTCTCGCTTCACCTGTGACAATACCTGATGCAAGCCGGCGATGTTCGCAATTGGCGCACCACCGCGGCAGCGCACGGCAGGCAGCGCGGCGCCCGCCACTTGGCAGGTCGTTGGTGGCATGGTGCACTGTCGGCAGGCATCGTTGGCGATCATGCTGTCACCCGGGCAGGTAGAGTCGATCGGGGGCTCGAGGCAGGCCGCAGCGCGTTTCCCTCGCTGCCGGCCATCTGCGCATGCCCACCCTGCGCCAGCCTCTCAAAAGTGGACGCGTGGCAGTCGAAGGCCCTGGTCGGGGTTCCAGGGCCTTGCATCGACGTCCAGGGACAGGTTGCACTCCCTGCGGCGCCGCCAGCTGGCCAGCTGGCGGTCGGCGGCGGGCAGGAAAGCAGAGTGCAGGGCGAAAATTAAAACCCTCTCATTGCTCGCGATCATTCAGTCCGCCCCTCACTCTCCTCCTCTGGGCATTGCACCACCGCTACCGCTCTCTCCACGAACCCACCATGACCCACGCCCACTTTGTCGCCCACATGGTGCGCCACACCGCCCAGCACATCTCCACACACGTCGTGGCGCACGCCTCGGGCACCGTGGCGCACACAGTGGCGGCTCCCCCGGCGATGCACCCCGCCAATGGCCAGCTGGCCCCTTCCAAGCCTGATGGCCTGCCGCAGCTGCAGCTCCCCCGGCGCCCAGTCTCCTTCCGCAAGATCGTGGGACTGCGCAGCCAGAGGAGCATGGAGATGAGCGCCGCCTACGGCAAGCTGCGCAAGGGTGCCTGCCTCTCGCGAGATTTGCCAAGGGTTGGTTGGGCGCCACGCCCAGCCAGGCTGCTGCCAGCTGGCCAGCCCAGCCCTGTCGCTTCTTCCACCCATGCGCATCAGCCCTCCAGCTCCGCGCCCCTGGCATGCAGGCTCTGCGAGCTTCTTCACGGCGGCCGCTGCCGCCAGCACCGCGGCCGCCACGGGCTGGGTTGGGGGCGCCGGCGCCAGCGCCGCGGGTTCCACCGCCGGCTACGAGTTTGACGTGGAGGTGCCCGAGTGGCACTAGAAAGTCCTGCCACTGCTCCTGTCCCCAGATCATGAGCCCAGGGAGCATGCAGCACCCAGGAGCCGCTGCCGCGCCCTTGCCACCGCCCACCCACCACCCACGCATGCCGAGCGCTTGCCCGCTCTTCAGTAGTCCTCTGTTTCCATCCGAGTATTGTGTATTCACTGTCCCTCCTCAGTCACATCTACTACCCCGTACCCCTGCCTCCCATCCCATCACTTGCTCTACGCCTGTCCTACCATGCCTGTGCTTCCCTGTACCGCCTGCCTCCCTACCGGCCTGTACCCACCCTCGGCAGCCCACCTTACCACCATTGCCTTCCGTGCGCCAGCGCCGGCCCTCTGCGCTCTGTCCCCAGCCGGCGCTCTGCCCTCCTGTACCATGTACACTGCGGCTGCGACTAGTACTGCCCCCCGGTCCATCCAATCAACCATTGCAACACTCCTATCCGTCCTGTCCAGCAACCCTCTCCTGAACATGTCCCTTTCTTTCATTCATCCCCAATGTCATGCATACGCCACACTCAACCGCACATGCCACTAGCGCTACATGCAATGATACATACTTTCCTCCTCTTGTGAATGCCGACACAGCAAGGAAGGACAGTAAAGCCAGGAGCTGGCCCTGCAGCCACACTGCTGCCTGCTGCCTGCTGCCTGCTGGCTCCGCGGCGGCCAGGCTCCACAGGGGTGCCGCTCACTCTCCCGGATTTCTCGGGCCCCAGCCGCCGCCCCAGCCGCCTTCACTTGCTGGTCAGCAGGGAGTGGGCGCCATACAGGGAGGCCCCCAGCGCCACCGCCCCCAGCGCCGTGCGCAGGCTGTGCAGCCTGCCCCACTGCGCCAGCGCAGGGTGGCGACAACACATGCGGGTCAGCTTCCCTGCGCAGCGCTCTGTGCCTGCTCCATCGGCGCACAAGCAGTGCACCTCCTACACGCCTCCTGACCTTGACGATTGGCGGCAATGCTTCCGCCTCCGCCGCTGCAAAGCCGCTGCGTCTGCCGCCGCCGCGCAACGGGCAGCCGTGCTGCCCCCCCCCCACACACACACGACCCAACCCTGTACGCGCCTGCTGCAGCTTGGCGGCGATGCTGGCGTCCCCCTCCTTCTCCGCCTCCCCCGCCGCCATCAGGTGGTTGTTCAGCGGCATCATGTTCCTCATCGTGTGCGCCACGATGGCCACGTTGGCGGCGGCGGCGAGGCCAAAGGCGGCGGCGGCGCGGGGGCTGCCGTCGCGCAGGCCCCAGGCCGTGGTGGCGGCGGCGGCTGTGCCCAGCGCGATCACTTTGATCTGAGGCACAGAGAGGAGGAAGAAGCACGGGAGGCGCATGGAGTGCTTAGATAGGGGCTGCTGGACTGCGGGAGGGCCACAGTGTCCTGCTGGCGTGTGAGACACCAGGCGACAGATGTTGCACGGCTCAGGCGGCGGCGGCGGCGGCGGCCTCGTGCTTGCGGCGGCGGCTGCACCTGGAAGGCCTTTGCCTCCGGGAACATGCGGCGCCATCCGCGCAGCAGCTCCTTGGCATCCTGGCTCCTGCGCCACGCAGAGAGGGCGGCAGGCGTGGGCTGGAGGAGGCGCCGGCCGCTGCCGGCGGCGGCGGCGCCGCCAGTGAGAACCCATCTCGTGCGCAGCCACCCGCGCCCCCATTGCCTGTCCGATCGACTCACGGGTCGTTGTAAGATGGCACAGGGTCGGCAGCAGACAGGAACAGCGCGACGCCCTCGAAGACCCCTGCCGCAGCGACCGCCGCGAGGGCCGTGGCCGCTCCCGTTGAATCCATGTGCCGTGGGGAGGGTGAATGTGTCCGTGACTGCGTCCAAAGGGGTTTGCTTCTTGCCAAGCGGCATGCTGCGCCCGCCTGGCACCGCGTGTCGGCAAGCGGCATGTCGGGGCGGGGAGAGGCCATAGCGACAAGACCCACAAAGACTCGGATCCGGCATGCATGGATTTGGATCTGTAGGAGCAGTGGAAGGATGTCGTGGACCTGGCATGTGTCCCCAAACCCGGTCTGTTGTGGGGCCGCACACCTGCCGGCAGCGCAGGCAGCGGACGCGCACCGGCGCAGCTTCTGAGGGTCTCCAGACAGGTACCCAGCAGCACAGAGGGTGCGGCAGAGCCTGATGAAATTGCAGATCATGCAAGGCAACGACCCCTATCGGCGGATGTCTGGCTTTGCGCCCTGGCGAGGGGCGGCGTGGCGCAGATGTCGCAGCGTAGCATTTCATGCAGGCGTTGTGGGCCTCTGAAAACGCCTGCTCATGCTCTTCCACAGTAGCCTTTTGACGTGCTGCCGAAACCACCGGCTGCAACCGCGCCAGCAGCCACTCCGACACCACCGGGCCTGCCGGTGCCACAATTCCACCCCGTGGGTCCCGCCCTCCCTGGGACCGATGCCTGCCTGCTGCAGCCTCTCCAGGCTCCCTTGCGCCTCCAACGGCCGCCCCGCTCCGCCCCGCCAAACTCAACCGGGGCGGAGGAATCACGCGATAGCGCGGCCTGTGCTGCCCGAGCAAACGGCCTTCCACCCGCTGTTCTCTGGTGAGGCCTGGGGGCGGCCCGCCGCCGTCCTGGGCAGCGTCAGGGTTTTCGGGCGAGGGCGCCTCCCGCCGCCGCCACGCAGCCGCGCGCCGGCTCTGCTGTGGCCTCGCCTGCCCTTCCCCGTCGCGCACGCGCGCTCTACACCCTACCAGCATTTAACCAAGTTGAGAAAAGCATGAAATTTTGCAGAAAAGCATGCAAGAATGGCCAGCACCCTCCCGCCGCCCCCCCCCCCGCAGGCGAGTGGGACACCTGCGAGGCGCTTGCCTCCAGCGACGACGTCTTCAAGTTCTTCGCCCGCGGCGCGGAGCTGACCGAGCTGACCTCTCTGTGGAAGCATGTGGAGGACATCATGCAGGTGGGAGGCTGGCCACTTGAACGCAGGCGTGACGGCGTGGTGGTCCCAGGAGGGGTGGGTGAACCAGCGATGCCCAGCGGCCGGCACGGCGCCCTGGCCCGCGGCTGCCCCACACCCCGCCAGGCGCGGCTGAGGCTGGTGGTGCGGAGGCCGGCTCGGGGACCAGCAGCTGCGTGGAGCTTCTTTTCTAGGCACAGGCGGCAGGGAGAAGCCGCCGGCGGTGGGACGTGGTCGTGCGTGGGCGGGCCATACGCAGCCCAGCCTGCCCAGACCGCCCGGCCGCGCCGCCCCCTGCAGGCAAACGTGATCACCACCACCCCCGACACGCCGCTGCAGCAGGCGCGGGCCGCCTGCAAGCAGCACGGCATCGGCGGCATGCCGGTGGTCGACCGCGGCGGCAAGGTGTGCGGGGCGGGGCCACCTGCTGCCGGCCTGTGTTACCCCGCTGCCTGCCTGCCCTCAAGTTGCCATGCACCAGCTCCTGCGCCCTGCCTGGCCGCCCACGCTCCGCCACGCGGGGGCCTCCCTCCTCAGCCCACGCCCTCCCCCAGCCTCTCGCCCTGCCCCCACCTGACGCTCCTCTCCTCCTTGTGCCCCCTTCCTTTCCAAACACCGCCTGCAGCTAGTGGGCATCATCTCGAAGAGCGACTTCCGCCGGGGCGGCGCCGCCGTGCGGGACGCCATGACCGCCGCCGTGGTGGCGGTGCGCCTCAGGGACGCCATCCCCGCCGCAGCGGCGCTGATGCTGCAGGTGGGAGCCGGGCTGGGGGTGTGAGCGGATGTGTGTGTGTGTGTGTGTGTGTGTTGGGGCTGGGCCCGCAGCCCTGTATGCCGCCTGCTGCACCGCGGCCCCCCTGCCGCCGGCGTCCAGAGGCCCGCGCCCGCCTCACCGCCGCGCCCCGCCTGCCCTGCCCGCCCTGCCCCGCAGAATGATCTGGACCGGCTGCCTGTGGTGGACCCTGCCGGGCGCTGCGTGGGCATCGTCACGCGCACCGACATGTTTTGGACACTGGTGAGGCGGGGTGGCGGCGGCGGCGCTGCTGCCAGCGCAGGCATGCACGCTGCCGGTGTAGGCCGGCTCAGCCTGTTCGTGGCGGCAGCAAGGTGCTGGGCTCTGCGCACCCCCACACCCACCCAAACCGCACACGCATGCACGCCTGGACCCTGCACGCTGCGGCAGTGCCCCTCTTGACCCTGCGTGTGGCGGCGGTGCCCCTCCCCATCACCCGCTGCCTGCCTACCTGCAGGCGATTGACAATGACGGCAGCGACAGCATCCTGCAGTGGCACAGCGGCAGCATGTGAGCGCCAAACCGCCCAGCGGCCTGGCGCCTGCGCCCGCACGGCACCACCGCTCCCGCGGGCGCCCCGCTTGGATGCCGCTTGGCAGCACTCGTGTCCTGTACAGTCACGGCCGCCTGCAGCATTATTTCCCCCTGTTCTTCTCGCATGGGGCCAGCTTTTCGACAATCAAGGGGGGGGAGAGCCGCCCCCCGCCCTGTGTCCATTTGTGCCACCCCCCTGTCCATCAGTGTTGCTCCACCTGCCAGACCGTGCCGGTGGAGGAAACTTTCCATTCTTCGCCCCACAGAGGGCCCCCACTGTGCATCACTTTTCCTTTCATCAGGCCGACCCCCGGCCGCATTGTCTGCGTGCGGCTGCCCCCTGGCGGGCCCTTTGCCGCCGCCGCTGACGCCATTTTTGACCGTACCGCATCCCCCGTGTGCCACTACCCATTCAATTTTCGCAACCCGCACTGCCGCCTACCGTTCCAGGCACACACATTGATTCATTGAGCCGACCCCTGCTGCCTGCCTCTTACCGCCCCTCAGATCACATACTGCACCGGTTTCGCCCTTTCCAAAGCACCGTGTTTCCAAAGCAAGCAATGCTGCCTTGCAAGCAATGCTGCCTTGGCACACCACAACAAGGCCCATCTGTAATGACAACGCTGGCAATGTGGGGGCTTTCACATGCCGGGCAGCGCAGCACAGCTGAGGCATATCAACAGTGGCTGGCACTCTGCGCACTCAAGTGGCTGCTGCTGCTGCCGCCACTGCGTGGGCAACTGGCAGGTGCTCGGTTTCGCTCCCGCCGTAGGCGGGAGGACCAACCAACCGCTTGAGTCACTCTGCCTTGTCCTCCACCGTCGCCTTTGCCTCCACCTCCCCCGCCAGCTCATCAACCGCCTTCTTGTCCTCGCTCTGCAACGCCCAGGCAGGGTGGCAGGGGTATAACGAATAGAGCATTGAGCATGGCGGGCGGATCGGCGGATGGCAGGCCGTGTGCATAGCGGGCAGCGGAGGGGGCGAGGCTGGCACAGGTGCCGCAGCCGCCGCGCGTTGAGCTGCGCCCAGCAGCCGGGCCGGAGCCCCCCATCAGCTGCGGGGCGCCACGGCTGCACCGCATCCCAGCACGCGCCGCCGGGGCTGCCCCACAGCCCGGGCATCCATCCAAGAAGCCTGGCGGAAGGGGCATGCAGGTCGTGCCGGGGGGCGGCCGCGGCATGTGGCGCACCTCCTCTGCAAAGCCGGGGGTGCCGATGAGCGCCTCCATCTTCTTTCCAGCCTCGTGGTAGGCCGCCTGGAACTGCTGCGCGCGCTCTGCGGGGCGCGGGGGGGAGGGGAGGAAAGAACATGGGGTCAGGCTGCGTTCAGGCGCGCGGGGACGGGGCCTGTTTGCAGCAAACAGCGCCGCGGTGGGCGGCGGCAGCACAACGCCGCCGCGCGCAGCGCCCTGGGCTGCCTGCTGCATCCTCGGGGCGCGCGTCACACGCCTGGGCCGCCCAGGCGCAGGCCACGGCGGGCGGGCGCACGCGAGCAGGGGTGCGCACCCGGCGAGGCGAAGCGTATGCAGAACAGCTCCATGCGCTGCGACTCGTCGGCAAAGTCGACGCAGGACCACACCATGGCCTTGTCGCTGCCGCCGTGCTCCTGCACTTTGGTGCCCGGCATGACTGCGGGGGGTGGGGGCGGGGGGTGGGGTGTGCGGGATGCTTACGCTGCCGGCAGCGGGAGGGAACCCTGCCACACTGCCGAGGGGCCGGGGAGTGGCAGCCAGCAGCCCCCAAGCCTGCTCTGCTCTTGAGCCAAGCAGCCCCTCCCGCTCCTCAGCAGCAGCCGGCAGCGGCCAGCCAGCAGCCAGCCAGCACCCAGGCAGCAGCACTCAGCCAGCACCCAGCCAGCACCCATACGGCACCCATCCAGCAGTGGCCACCAGCACCCAGCCACCAGCACTCAGCCAGCACCCAGCCGGCACCCATCCGGCACCCAGCTGGCGGCCAGCGCTCACTGATGTGGTTGCCCCGGATCTTGAGCGTCTTGTCCTGTCGCATGAGGAAGCGGATCTTCTTGTTCTCCTTGTGCTGCAGGATGCGGCCCTGGCCCACGCCCCGCTCCTTCCACTCGCCGGCGTCGTTGTCGTACCGGTACAGCTTGCACTTGCTGCGGTACGGGAGTCCGGCACGGGCAGCGGTGCGGGCGGCGGCCTGAGCGGCGGTGCGGCATGCGGCATCGGGGCGCGGGCCGGGCGGGTGCGGACCACACCGCCGACGGCTGCCGGGGCGGCGGGCGAGGCGCGGCAGCTGCACGGCACCCGCTCCACCCCGCAGCGCACCCCCTGGGTGACGCTGGCCCTCCCGGCTGCCAAAGCCGGAAGGCCCACCCCCCACCCAGCAAGCGCCCGGGCCCTAGAGGCCTCCCACAGGGCAACCGCTTTCAATGTGTCCGGCCACCAGCGAGGGGCGGCAGCTCCTGGCCCCGCCGCTCACTCACGCGTCAAAGAGCGCCTCCTCCTCCTCCTCCCCCGTGCTGACCTCCACCTCGTCTAGCTGCACAATGGGCTTGAACTCCGCCTTGCACTCCTCCTCGCCGGCCCCATCCTCCTCCTCGCCGCCCTCGGCGGCCGCGGCGTCGCCGCCCTCGCCGCCCTCGCCGGCGGCGGCCTTGGCCGCAAAGCCGCCGCCGCCCGCCGCAAAGCCGCCGAAGCCGGTGCCGCCAAAGGTGGACGAGGCGCCGAAGATCGGGGTGGGGGAGGCGGCCTGCGGGGGTGGGCGGGAGAGGTGATTTCCCACGTGAGACACAGGAGCGGCGGGTGGGGCGTGAGCGGCCGCGGCTTCTAGCGTCCAAGCCCCCGCTGCTGCCCCCCACCGGCGGCAGGGCCCATCGCCGCTGCTGCCTCGGTCCTTGACCGTGCAAGGGCGGGACGGCGGCTGGGCCAGCCAGTGAAGCCAGTGATGGTGTGCATGGCGGGCGGGGGAGCGATGGAGCCGGCAGGCGCCGCAGCGATGCCCCTCAGCACCTTGGGCTCCTCATCAGGTGCCACCTCCGTCTTTGCCTGCTCCTCGGCGCTCATCTGGCTGATCAAGCACAACTGGGAACTGCAGACGCGCTCCGAGCTCGCGCCAGTGTGCAGCAATGCAGAGCCCAATCGGAGGAATGCCGTGCTGGCTGGGGCGCTGCAGCCAAAGTGAGAGCGCGGGACGGCAATACTGCGCTCCCAGCCTCTTGCCCTCTGGGCCGTTCCTCGCTGCTGCAGCGCAGTCGACACGCCCGATTGGTCGCGCACAGCACCATGTCGCAAGAGGCCGATGTTCAGGGTGCGTTCAACGGGGATGGCATGGTTCGCTTCTGCTGTGCTGGGCGCCCAGCGCAGCTGCCACGCCACTGCGTGCAGGGCTGCTGTCGGAGCTGCTGGAGCTGGGACACACGCCCAAGCCCCCGCCAACGCTCGGCACCCAGCAGGCCTTTGACTGGGTTGCTGACTGCACGGCCTGGCTGTGCCAGAGGTGTGTAGCCGATGGGGCAGCGCTGCACAGCCCAGGGGCTGCTGCTGGGCCGATGCTGAGCTAGCAAAAAGTCCCGCGCACCGCGCACCGCCGACCGCTGCCGGCTCAACCCTGCCTGTCTTCGCAGGGCGGCGCCCGACCTTGCCGTGCCTCGCGACTATAGCAGCGAGGCCAAGCGGGTGGCCTTCCTGTCAGCCCTGGGCAGCCAGCTGTACTCCCGCACCCGCATCCGCCTGCACCTGCGCCGCCTGTACCGCGCAGGCGGCGGCGCGGTACGCGAGCTGCGCCGCCTGGCGGCCAGCCTGGCGCAGGCGGCGGCAGAGTTAGCTCCGCCTGCCGCCACGCCCGCCAACCTGCCACCCCTGCCTGAGCTGGACCGGCCGCAACTGAATGAGCTGTCGCAACGCATCGGCGCCAGCGCCGCGCAGCTGGTGGCAGCGCTGGCGGCGGCGCCGGCAGCGGCTGCGGGCGCCCGCGCGGCACTGGCTGCCACCACAGATGTGGATGGCATGGAAGCCGAGCTGCGGGCGGCCCTGGCGGCGGCCCGCCAGCAGAAGGCGCAGCTGGAGCCGGCGGTGGCGGCGCTGGGGCAGGAGGTGGCGTTGCTCGAAGGTGCGCTGCTTCCCGGGGCTTCCAGGCTGGGCGGGCTGGGGCCCTGGAAGATAGCAGCCTCTACAGGGGGAGGCACCTCGTGCATCCAATCCAGCTGGATCCCAAAGCCTGCTTCCAGGCACCGTGCCTGGTGCTCAATGCGCGTTATTGCCACTCAATCATGTGTACGTGTGTGGCTCTGTGTGCGGCGCAGCCCGTGTGGAGAAGCGGCACGTGGAGCTCGACCGCCTCGAGCGCCGCCTGGACTCCCTGCAGGTCTGCATGGGCTGCAGCTGGGCATGGCGCCGCCGCTGCTGCTGCGCACTGCATCATGGCGACTTGGAAGCGCTGCTGCTGCTGCTGCCTGTTCCTGAGGACAGCAGAGCTGAGGATGAACAACAGTGTGCGGAGGTGTGGTGTGGCACGGCGCTGGCTGCAGGCGGTCAAGCCCGCCTTCTCGGCGGAGGCGGAAGCGCTGGAGGCTGAGCTGGCGGGGCTGTACCAGCAGTACCTGCATAGGTGGGTGCCGGTACAGTACCGGCAGTACAGCGGTACGTGCACAGATGGGCGGCGACAGGTGCATGCTGGTGCCCTGCCAGGCCGCAGGAAGAGGTACTTTCGGCGGATGGGGCAGAACCGTATGCGGCACAGAGTGTGTTTGGGATAGCCCTGCTGTAGCCCCGCCACCTGCCCTGCAGGTTCCGCAACCTGGAGTGGCTGGAGGGGTCGCTGGACGCGTATGCTGCAGAGCGGCAGGCGGAGGCCGAGGAGGCCGACAAGTGAGCAGGCGGCTTGGCCGCGGCAGCAGCGTTGGGGTGTGCGCGTGTGTGTTTGTGTGTGTGGAAGCACAGGAGGCATGAGTGCTGGACTATGCCCGCAGGCAGCGCCCCACAGCTTTGCTGAGCGCCAAATAATTGCGCTGCCCTGCCCGCAGGCAGCTGCGCCGCATCCAGCGCCAGGTGGCGGCGGAGGAGCTGCGCCTGCTGCAGGGAGACCAGAACGGCAGCCCCAACACGCCTGGGGCCGAGCCGGCAGACGGGCTGGATAGTGACGACAGCGAGGCGGCGGTGCCGGGTGGCTGGGGGCTCAAGGCGCTGCCGTGCCTGGGCGGTGGCAACGGCGGCGCCGGCGCCGGCGGCGGGGTGCGCGCAGCGGGAGGCTCCCCGGGAAGGTCGGCCGCCGCGCTGGACCTGCAGCTGCTGTCGGATGAGGAGAGCGGGGGCGGCGGCGGAGGAGCGGCGGGGAGCCGGGGGGGCACTGCTGCCTCCAAGGGCGGCGCCAGCAGGCTCAGCCTGGCCAGCGGCGGCTCTTCGGATGTGGCAGGGGCCGCCGGCGGCGACACCTCGCCCGGAAGGCCCCAGGAGGGCAGCAAGGTGACCTTTGGCGGAGCCTCCCTCATCACGGCGCCCCGCGGCGGCCCCTCCAGCGGCGGCAGCCAGCGCCCCGGCAGCGCGCGGCGCGCCACGGGCAGCGCCAACGCGATGCTGCGGGGCAGGGCGGGCGGCGGCGAGGGCGGCGGCGCGGACGTGCTGAGCCTGGACAGCCCGCTGGCCAGCCCTGCGCGCCGCAGCAACATGCAGGGCGACAACGACTTCTGAGCTGAGCCAGCTGCGTTCAGGCAGCCGAGGTGTCTGGCGAGGGCTTGCAGCCCAGCGGCGGCGGCTGCCAGCCCAGCGCCGTGCCGTGCCTGCCGCCATGCTGCGCTTGCTGCTTGCCAGGCCTTGCCCACGAGCTCCTGTGTGCCTGGCTATCGCCCGGCGCCAGCGAGGGAGGCTGTGCATACAGCGCAAGGTGGCGGGGACAATCAAATAGGGAAGAGTGTAGAAAAGCAGTGCTGAATTGACAGGGGGGAGGTGCGGAGCGAACCGAGCAGTTTCCAGATGCCACCAGAGGGCCAACTGGCGGCTGTGCGCTAGCTGCAGGGGCGCGGCGCAGGCAGGCCGCGTTTCAGTCGTCGTCCACAAACGCGGCGGCGCCGCTGCGCTTCTGGCGCTTGCGCTCCCGCTTGGCCGCCTCCCGCAGAGCCTCTCGCTCCGCCTCGCTGCGGCAGGCGAAGGGCAGGCGCATGCGGCGCGGGTCAGGGAGCGGGGGTGTTGGCAGCGTGTGTCTGGGTGCGCGTGGACCGCACCCACCCACACCCACCAACCGCCGCGTGCCCAGGTAGGGGCGCGCCACAGCGGGCGCCCCCGCGCCCCAAGCAGCACGGCGGCACAGCCCTGCCCCTGCCGCGCCGCCACGCTGGCACACTGCTGCCACCCTTGCTGCCACCCCCGCCACGCTGCAGCCTGGTGAGCCCCGCCACCCGTGCTGCCACCCACGCCAGGCAGACGCACCGTTCGTCCTCTGCGCGTGCGATGCGCGCCGCGCGCCGCTCCTCCGCCTGTATCTGCCCGTAGGCCGCCTCCATGTCTCGGTCAGCCTGCCGGTCGATGGCGGCAAACTTGGAGGGGTCGTAGCTGCGGGCGGGCGGGCGGTGGTGGTGCGTGCATGTGTGTGTGGCGGTGGTGGGGTGGGGGCAACCGGCGCAAGGGCCTGTGTGCGGGAGGGGTTTGAGGGCCGCCCCGGGAGGCTCAGCCGCCCCGGGAGGCTCAGCCACCCCGGAACGGAGAGCATAGAGCAGCTGCATCATTGTGCGAGGGCAGCGGGCGCGGTTGCAGCTCGGCGCAGCTCAGGACGACCCCTGCGCCAGGCAGCCCCCAGTCCCCTGCCCTCGGCAGGCCCGCGGCATGCACCGCAGGCACCCACCCGCCAGTGGCCTCCCTCAGCGCCGCGCGCCAGTCCTGCTCCACCTCGCCGCCGTCGCCCTCCGCATACCCCTCCTCCCCTTCCTCCTCGTCGCTGGCTATGAAGGAATCCAGGTCGCCGCCAGAGTCGAGCGACAGCCTGCAGGAGGAGGAGGGTGGGAGGCATGCGGGCAGGGGGACGGTTGCGGGCGGGCAGCAAGTGGGTCGGCCGCGTGGAGGGCGGCGGCAGAAACACAGCGCAGGCGGGTTGGTGGGAGCAGGCAGGGGCGCAGAAGACATGATCAGCACCTTGTTTCCCACATACACATCACCACACATCGCACACATGTACTAAACAGTACGCAGCCCACCCTCAACCCACCTGCGCTTGTTGTACTGCATGCGCGCCTCCAGCGCCGCCGGCGGCTGCTGACCGTCGTAGAAGGCGCCCCGCAGCTGCGCCCGCCCCGCCGCGCCCGCCCCCGCCGCCCCGCGCTGCATGGCGCGCGGCGCGCCGGCCCCCGTGGCGGGCCGCGGCCCCTTGCCCACGCTGCCGGGGCTCTGGCCGCTGGCTGCGCGGCCCTGGCCGCTGCCGGCCGGGCGCACGGCGGCCACGGCGGCGCCGCCACGCCGCGCCGCCTGCCCCGGCGCGCGGCTTACCAGCTGTAGGGTCTGCATGCCGTGTGCTGTCTGGTACTGCTTGTTTCTCATCACCGACTTGGCCCCGGCGGCCTCCCGGGCGGCACGAGCGGCGGCCGCCGCTGCGGTGCTGCCGCCGGCGCCGGCGCCGGCCGTGCCGCTGCCCGACGGGGAGCCCAACCCTGCCGCCGCCGCCGCACGCGCCCCACCAGCGCTGTGGCCCGCCATCATCTCGCCCACCCGCTGCCTCAGGGCCTCGCTGGCCAGCTGCTTGCGCCCCTTGCCCACAGCAGTCACCTCCACAGCCATCCCTCGAGCCGCCACCGCTTTCTTGCCGCCACCGCCGCCCGCCGCCCGCCGCGTCTTCACCTTCTGCCGCTGCTGCGGCTGCGAGGAGCCTGCGCCGCCATGCTGCTGCCCCCGCGGCCGCTGCGCCGCAATCCCGCCGTCGAACGCAGCAGAGCGCTGCCGCGGCGGCGGGCCCGCCGCCGTCTGCTGCCCGCCGGCGGCGGGCCTGCGAGGGGCAGGTGCAGGAGGTGGCGCCTCGTCGCTGCCCAGCGCGCTAAAGTCCCGCCGCTGCTTCAGCTTCTCCACGCGTTGCTGGCCGGGGTCTGGCTGCGGCGGGGCTTGCTGGCGGGGCGCAGCGGAGGCCTTGCCGGCCTTGGCGCCGCCACCGGCTCGAGGCGCGTTGGCCTTGGGCTCTGGAGCAGGCTTCACAAAGGCCTTCCATCCGGGCGCCTTGCTCTGGTCCCTGGTGGATAGAGGGCCGCCAAAGAACGACTCCCGCCTGCACACAGGGACGAGCAGGCAGGCGGCGACGGCGCGGCGGTGGAGAAGGCGCACGACAGCTAGGGAGCGCCCGTCTCTGCATCGCCATCAGGGAAGCATCGGGTGGCTGGAAACACCGGTAAACAAGCCAGGAAAGGGGTTCGCACGTTGCGAGCCGGGTGCGCGCAGCCCCCTGGTTTGCCATGGCGGCGTGTGCTCGCTTCCGAGAGTTGCTGGCCGAGATAAGAGGCCAATCAAGCGAAGCACATGGCCGCAGGGGGGCGCCCGAGCAGAAGGCGAATCGCGAAGGAGCGGGTGGTGGCCTGTTGCACTTAAAAACGTGTCTGGACGGGCATTAACAATGCTGCATCAACAGTGCTACAGCGCGCAGGAGGCCAGAGGGCATGAATGGGTCCATCGCACCGCCACCAGCCGCACCCCCGCAGGGCCTCATGCGCGGCACTGCTGCTGGCTGACTGCCATGATTAAACCAATCCTGTAAACTCCCCTCCCACATCCAGCAACAGCTGTGCGTCCAGATCCGCAGTGGGCGGCGACTTTAGCCTCTCCAGCGCTGCCTCCGGGGCGCTGCCATGGGCCAGCGGCACCCGTGCACCCACCAGCTGCAACATGTCGGGAAGGCCACCCGATGCAGCCTTGCACAAGCTTGCAGGTGGTCGTCTTGGGTCGCCGACAAGGTCACTTGTACACTGCCGTCCCCACCAGGGTCAGCGCGGCGCCAAGGCCGCACGCTACTCGAGCGCTGGGGGCGCCACGGCAGCCATGGGCCCGGCTGTACAGCGGCAGGTGCACCTAGCTGACTTCCTTCCTGGCACAGCCGCTCAGACTCTTCAGACTCCTCAGAGGCGGAGAGGCCCAGGCTGCGCTGCTCGGGAGGGACGCCTGCGGCGCTGCGCCTGCTCCTCGAACAATTCCTGGGATGGGCGGCTGGCGGCGGCCATTGGGTGGGGTCGCGGTCGCGAGTGTGGCAACTGAGGAGGCACGGGGCGACTTCCCCGGGAGGAACGCTGATGGCAATGAGGAGGCACTGGCGGCTGCTCCACGAAATCGGAGGCTCTGCCCCTGATAGACCAATCAACGTAGTGGCTTGGCCGCGTGCGGCATGGGATGCAGCCTCTCCCAAAACCGCAGCACGCTCCGCAGGCACTTCCTGCCTGCCTTCATTTCTCGTTCCATTGCTGCAGGACTGCAGGCTGTGCAGTTTTGATCGCATTGCGGGTTGCCAGGAAGCATTCCACCCTGCCTTGACGGCAACACGAGTGATCGGCGCCTCCCAGGAGCACCAGGCGCGCCTGGGCTGTGAATCGGTGATCCCCGACTTACAGAGAGCCTAAAGGCAGGCTCAGGGGACGGCTGTGCCAGCTTGGGCCCCTGCCGGCATGTCCAACAAGCGGGTGGGTCTCTCGGCACGCGCAGGCAATTTGCCCTTGCAACCCCGCAGCAAGTGCAGGCCCAGGTCGCTTGCCCGCAGCTCCCCGCCACCCGCCTCGCCGCCGCGCTGCCCTCACCGCCACGCCCGCCCTGCCTGCCTCCCTCCCAGGAGTCTGTGGTGTTTCTGCTGGATGTGGGGCCCCGCATGCACCCCCACGTGGCCCACGCCGCCCGCGCCGCCGGCGACTTCATGACCCAAAAGGCAAGCAGGCGGGCCAGGCCGACGCCTGCAGTGCCGGCTCGAGGCGCCGGCCTGGCTGGCGTGCCGACTCCCGGCCGCAGCCGATACCCCTGCAGCTGTCAAGGGCCGGCCTGCACCCCCTGCCGCCGCAGATGCTGCACAAGGTGAAGGACGAGGTGTGCCTGCTGCTGTTTGGGACCAGCAAGACGGACAACCGGGAGCACACCAAGTCGGCGATGGAGGAGGGCGGGGAGGGGGAGTATGCGCACATCGTGGAGGCACACGAGTGAGCCGCGGCGGCGGGCAGCTCCTGTGTGATTGTGATCAGTGCTGTCTCGAGTTTTTGCAACTTGCGGGTCCTCCAGGGAGGGGATTGCACACAGGCCTGCTCCGCAGCCTGCCTGCGACGCTGTTGGGAGGCGCCTGCGCCTCTGCCGACCCGCAGGCTCAGCGCTGTCGCCGCCGCCGCGCCGTGCCCTCCCTGCTTCCCCTGCTGCAGCCTGGCCCCGCCGGAGGCCAGCTACATCAAGACCCTGCACACCCGTGAGAGCCGGCCAGCCAGCTGGCCCGCCGGCCGGCCAGCCAGAGGGCTTGCACCTGCCGCACTGCTGGCATCCCAGTCAGACTAGCCACCTACCACCCGCCCTACCCACACCTGCCATGCCATGCCCCCCCACGCCCGCAGTGCAAGGCGGCCAGGGGCGGTCGGACTTCAAGGAGGCTCTGGCGGTGGCGGCGGCGGTGCTGGTGCAGGAGCGTGAGGCCGCCTCCGCCAAGCGCATCGTGCTGGTGACCAACCTGTGCAGCCGGGTGGGTAGGTGGGTGGGTCTGTGGGTGGGTGGGCTGCCGCTGCCGGGCAATGTGTTGTATGTATGGGGTCCTTCTACCTGCGCGGCCAGCTGGGTGGGTTGCGCTGGGTGGGCTGCCCTGCTGGGTGGGACGGCCGACAAAACCGTGAGAGGTGGCTGCGCGCCTCTGCATCAGTGCGACACCACAGCCCCACCTCCCACCTCCTCCTCCACCCTGCCCCTGCCCCTCCCACTTCGACCCCGCCGCCCCTCTCCCCCCTGCAGGCTCAGGATGACCCTGATGACGCCCTGACCAGCTGCCTGGCGGAGGGGCTGCAGCACCAGGGAATCTTCCTGGACGTGCTGCTGCTGGATGTGCCGGGTGGGCGCCAGCTGCCGGCATGCCTCCTCGCCTCCCGTCCCTCGCTGCACATCGCGCGCCCCGCCTGCCATCCCGGGCTTAGTCCTAGTCCCCGCTGCTGGTGACACTGCACTGCCTGGATGGTGCATGGTACTGTACTAATGTACTGCAGAGGACGATGAGCGGTACGAGCAGGACAAGACGTACAACCTCAACCAGGTCGCCGCCATCTGCCAGGAGGTGCGCCGGCTGCCGGCTGCCCATCGCCGCCGCCGCCGCCGCCGCCGCGTGGCCCTGCTGCCTCCCGCTCGGCGCCTCCTGGCACACGCACGACGGCTGCATGCTTGCGCCTCCCCACCATCGCTGCAATGCACGCCCCTGCTGCCATGCTCCAATGCGGCTCCTGGTTACCGCTGCCCGCCCGCGCCCCGGCCTCCCCCCATCCCTGCCTTCTCCCCGCTCCCCTGCCCTATCCGCAGCTCTCCCACCGCGAGCGCCACTTCTCTTCGGCCCTGGCCCTCACCGGCGCCTTCCCCGCCCACGAGGTGCTGGCGCGAGCCTACTACTCTGGAGTTCTGTCCATCGGTACCAAGCTCAACATCAAGGCAGGGACAGCTGGCTTGTACAGCTGGCTTGTACAGCTGGCTTGTACAGCTGGCTTGTACAGCTGGCTTGTATGCTTGTGTGCGTGTGCGTGTGCGTGTGCGTGTGCGTGTGCGTGTGCGTGTGCGTGTGCGTGTGCGTGTGCGTGTGCGTGTGCGTGTGCGTGTGCGTGTGCGTGTGCGTGTGCGTGTGCGTGTGCGCGCGCGCGCATGCGTGTGTGCAGGGCTTGGGTGTCTGCGCGTGCCTGCATGTCTCCCGCGCTGCCATTGAACACGCAGCCGAGTTGCCGTGCCCGCGCCGGGCCTGCCCCGCCCTGCAGGTCAAGACGGCGGGCAAGGCGGACAAGGAGAAATTCCCGGCAGCCGGGCGGGAGAGCACGGTGGTGGAGGGGGTGGTGGAGGCGGCACGTGAGTCGGCGGGGTGTGGGGCTGAGGCTGAGGCTGAGGCTGAGGAGGACTGTGTGGGGGTGAGGGAGGGGCATCTGCAGGCAGGATGGTGGAGGGGGTGGTGCCGGGTGCGGTGTGGAGGTGTTGGTGGCAGCGACCGCCAGCGGCTGCTGTAGTTCCCGCCGGCCTCAGCCTGCCCAGCCGCATCCATCTCTGTCCTGCCGCCCCAGAGAGTGGGCCTACCTGCCTGCCGGCCTGCCTGCCGGCCAGCCTGTCTGCCTGCTGGCCTGCCTGCCCACCCGCCTGCCTGCCTGCCTGCCTGCCTTCCCGCCTGCCTGCCCACCCGCCTGCCTGCCTGCCTGCAGTGGAGGGTGTCGACACGGGTGTGCCGCGGGGGCGAGAGTACTATTACGTGGATCAGGTGGGTATCGGCGGGACTGCTGGTACTGATGGTACCACGCATGCCCGCCGCCGCGCCGCTGCGCCTGCCTGCAAGCCCAGGCGCCGCGCGTGCGGCTGCCAGCCCGCCATCCCTCGCATGCTACTGGTCCATGCTGCTGCTGCTGCTCATCATGAGATGTGCCGCCGCCTCTCCCCTGCTCCTGCCCCAGGAGGAGCACGGCCCCGAGGAGGTGCCGGAGCAAGAGGTGGCCAGTGCCTACCGGGTGAGCAGCCGGGCGGGGCGCCAGCCCAGCTGTCCTGGCGGCCATATGAACACATGTGTGCCTGGCTGCGGTGTGCGCCTCTGTGCCAGGGCTTGCCCGATCGCCTGCGCCTGGTGCTGGCAGGGTGGGCGCTGCCGACCCTTCTGCCCCACTGTACTGCCTGCAGTACGGAATCAACCTGGTACCGTTTGAAGCCGACCAGAGGCGGGACCTTGCCTTCCCGACTGAGAGAGGGATGAAGGTAGGCGCCTGCTGGGTTGGCAGGGAGCACAGCGTGCACAGCGTGCACAGCGTGCACAGCGGCACGGTCGGCTGGCCTGCAGACGCTGTTGCTGGTACCGTGCTGCGCTGCCCCGCCTGCCCGCGCCATTTTGCCAGGACCCCCCGCAGCAATATGGCAGTGCCCCGCATGCGCCCCTGCAGCTGATAGGGTTCCTGCCCGAGGACGCGATACCTCGCCACCTGTACATGGCGGTACGCACCAGCCACCGCCTGTACCGCAGCTGCCAGCACCGCAACGCCACGCACAGCAGGCCCCGCCAGCGCCTGCCTTGCCTCTCCTCCCGCATATGCAGCCTGTGCTGCCGCCGCTGCGGCCCGGCCTGCCGCTGCTTACCTCCACCCTCGCCTGCCCGCCCATATGCCTGCCTGCCTGCCCGCCCACCCGCCTGCCTGCCTGCCTGCCTGCCTGCCTGTGCGCCTGCAGAAGTGTGATGTGGTGGTGGCGGACAAGGCCAGCCAGGCCAGCTGCGTGGCGATGGCAGCGCTGGTGGCGGGCATGCGGCGGCAGCGCCAGAAGGCCATCCTGAGATGGGTGGCCAAGGCTTACTCGGTGAGGCTGATGGGGCGGTGGGGCGGCTTGTCTTGGATGGGCAGGGTGGCGGGGTGGCTGCATGGTTGGTGACAGGAGCCTGCCGCAGGCACGTTGCTTGGCCAGGGCAGCGCGCCGCTTCCGCCAGCCTCTGGCGCAGCGCATCCCAGCAGCGCCCCGCTCGGCCACACGGCACACCCGCCTCGCCGGCACTTCCCCGCCCCCTGCCCATGAGCAGCGCCCCGAGCTGTTCCTGGCGTCGCCGGTGCCAGCTGGCGCCACGTCAGCGCCCCACCTGCTGCTCAACGCCCTTCCCTTTATGGAGGACTTGCGAGACTACCGCTTCCCCTCCTTCACCAAGAAGAGCTGGTGGGTGGGTGGTCGCGGCGGCGGCGGGCTCGGCTCGCGGGCGACCGCAAACGGTACAAACGGTACACACAGTACAAACGGTACCAAGGCAGGGGGGACCCTAGCCGAGGGGCAGGCAGGCAGGCAGGGAGAGGGCAGGGCAGGGGCAGCTCAGGCTGCGGAGCGGGGCCAGGGCCCGGGGACGAGGCAGGGTCCAACTGTGCGCTGCTGTGCTTGGCGTGCCTCTCGTCTCGCCTTGCCTCGCCTGCGGTGCAGGGAGCCCAGCGAGGCGCAGGTGGAGGCTGCCGCGGCGCTGGTGGCCAGCATGAGCCTGGGGCAAGGTGGGGCAAGGGCCACGCCGCAGGCCTCGCGCTGCACACGGTCGCCGCTGCTAGAAGCTGGCTGCTGCCTCCCTGTGCCACCCTGCGCAGCTGACGTCCCCCCCTCCTGGTCGCCACACCCGCACTGGGACGCCGCCCTGTGCTGCCCTGCGCGCCCGCCTGGGTTGCTTTCCACCTGGCAGGCCCCTGGCAGGCTCACACACAGGCGGCTCGCCACCTGCCTCCCCTGCTGCTGCAGGCGACCTGGAGCAGCTGCTGCCGGAGCGCACCCCCGACCCGGCACTACACCGTCTGTACTTCGAATGTGGGCGGAGGTGAGGACGGGAGGCGGCCGGCCAGCCCGCTGCGGCCGCCAGAGCGGTGTTGCCTGCGCTGCGCTGGGCATGCCGCGCACCTGGGTGCTGCCGGGAGTGTGCTGCGTGCGCTGGCGTGTGCGCCGGCCCCCTGCCTCGCCGGCCGCCGCCCCAGCGTGCCGCGCCTGCTGCGCTGCTGCCCGCTGCGCCTGCTGCAGGGTGGCCGACCCGGAGGCGCCGCTGCAGGAGGAGGATGAGCTGGTG